ATTTTTCGATAGTCGAACTTGACAGATCTATAAAAAGACAACCAATAGAAATAACAGAAAATGCTGACACGTTTCTGGAGATCGAGGCTTTGTGATTAACACTGCACAGTTATTTTGCATGAACGATCGCATTTGAGACCCGATTAATTCGCCGGAACGTCAGTCGGTCATTTTGGAGTTGACGGCCTCTGCCGCCTTTGGAAGGCAAAATCCAAAACAAACCTTAATTTTATCGAATTCTACATTTTATAACCTTTCTATTGATATATAGTTTGTGGGGGTTTCCTTGAAAACAGCGCGCGTTCGAATTTTTTTCTGGAGGACTTCCGCGAAGGTTTGAAGTAACCTTAACATTGTAGTTTTGGGAATGTTATATTCCATGATATTAATTGTAATTAGTTGTATGTAAAACAAACAGGCCGAGAATAATTTTCAAGAACGTCACTGACAACTTTTTTTAGATGTAAAAACGTTTCGGATGAAACCTAATCCATCTCAACTTCAGCCAAAGTAACAGAACCCGCTAGCACAACATATAACTAATAAAAACGAGGCAAAAAATATGGAAAATATAACTAATTGCGGGGTTAAAAAATATTTACTTTAGACAAACAAAACTAAGTAGCCAGTGAAAGATTGACATGGAAAATTGGCCTCTTGAGTAAGGTTTTCTCTGGCCCAATGAACTTGAAGCACCTCCTTTAAGAATCAAATGATTTAGCTATTCAGCCGTTGTATTTTGAAAGGCAACCCAATATCAAGCTAAACAGGGATAGTCTCAAACACTAATGATTATTTCTCTTTTCCACGACCCTTTACTTTTTCAGGTAAATGGGGTTGCTATTTTTGAATATATTAGCATTCAAGCACTTAAACATCAAGTTAGCGATGAAGAAGGAGGTCAATCAATAGCTGCATTTCTTAGATGTACTAATATCACATCAGGTTTTTCACCAAAGTATCTACACTTCTTGAGTAACGCTTTCTGTGGCCCAATGAACTTAAAGCACCTCCTTTAAGAGTCAATTGATTTAGCTATTAGGTGAAATTTTGAAAGGCATTTCCGACAACAAGCTAAACAGGGATAGTCTCAAACAATTATTTCTCTTTTCCACGACCCATTACTTTTTCAGGCGAATGGGTTTGCTATTTTTG